ACTTAATTATAGGCACTGCAGAAGATAGCGTCAGTAATTCTGCAAAATGGAACGGTTGCTACGCTTGTTTACGGAATAAATTCAAAGTGGAGGTGTTCTTGCATTAAAAGCTCCAAATGAGTAAGCCAAAGTTGAAGTCAAGTTTCAACCCTTGTCTCTGAACTTGATGGATAGAAAATGCAAACTTACTTCAACAGCTATAACTACATAGAAAAATAATATGAAAACAAAATAGCCCCAAATTGATAGCACTTGTAAGATCATGGTGGCAGCCAGCACTATTTGTAGCGATCTGAGAAGATGGTGGAAATAGCATCAAATGAAGACTGCCCTCTAACGCACTTAAGAACCATATATCTTCGTGCCGATCTTCGTTCGCTCTCGAAATCTGCTTCCTCTTCTTCCTCCACTTCCTCTGATTTTGCGACTTTTTCCTCTTCAGTGGGTGTGACCGAAACTGTGGAGTATCCGGGAGACTTGCTCTTTTCCGTGCTTTGACCAGGTGCTGATACTTCGCTTTTGGTCCCGGCTACACCCGTGCCCTCTACCGATAACCCGCTCTTTTCAGGTTTTGATATCACTGATTCTTTGGAAGTACCAGACTTTTGCGTCGCCTCTGCAGTGTCTGGCAAAGGGCTTTCCTTAGAAGTTCCAGATTTCTGTACTGACTCTGCAGTATCTACCACAGGGCTTTCCATATTTGATCCCATTTCAGGGGTTCCGCGCGCTGGTGACTCCATCGCCTTTTCTAAACCTTCTCGGAGGTCTGGCACCATCCTTGGGATACTGCTTGCCATTTCCGAATCCGCCGGACTGCTTTCTCGAACACTTTCTTCAGGGCTTTCTTCCTGCTTCTTGTCCATGTCGGCTCAAGTACAACTCAGCTAGTAAAATGAGACATAGTAGAAGCAATGTTATGAGTTGTTTGTTGATTCAATATTTGTTTTCATATTGGTTCCATTTTGTTCTAGAAATACACCACGCGCGGTGAAGAAGTCATTGTATCGTCGATTCGTAACACACAAAGACTGGACGCGCT